TAATTTGGCTCATCTATTACTTTCACACACACTGCCTTTAAAAGATTACCTGCCAACCATGATGCTTCAACTGATAAAAATGACATAATAGTGCCATCCAGAGACTAATGTAATCACAAGCCCCCCCCCCCCTTCCTTGAGTTTGTCAAAACTGCAAAGTCTTCAACCCATTATATATATATGTGGTCTGGTTGTCTTTACCCCCCCCCCCCCCTCGTGCATACATGCCTGGTATTGGCTCAACTGTGGCTTCTATTAGTGATTTCTTGATTGGTCAAAACATTCAACACGGTGTGCACTGTGTGTAACAAACTAACAGACATGTATGTTGTACATATGTGCTTATCTTCAACCAAATTTGAATTCTTATACTGATAGGTTGATACATGAAACAGGCATGCAACTCAAAATTTACAAGAAAAGGAGGAAATTCCAAACCACACAAGCCTTTGTACAGTATTTTTCAAAAATTGTAATGGCATTCATGAGAAGAAAAGAAAGAAGGAAATCAGCAGATCCAAGGAAAAATTGCATGCCTGATGGCAACAACAGTGTTATTATCCCATAATGGGCCACACTGCACCACACAACGCAAGACGCTTGCTGCACGTACGTATGTGGTAGATGAAAGCTGAAACGTGACGACAGCGTGCACGTAATGTGCATGAAGTGTGCTGGAAGATGAATTGTTAAACCCACTCACACTCATGGAACACACAAAATAAAGCGCTTGAATGCCAATCACAAATTTGTTCTGAAAGCTTGCATAGATCCTTTTAATATTCTACATTTAATTCCAAAATCCTTCACCATAAAAATAAAGTCCTTAAAATAGCCAACTTATTTTAAAAAGTATTTCACTGCAAAAATTCCAAAAGATATTAACAGTTGCAAAAATAATCTCTCTGTTCAATCCTTACTGCCAAGCATATCAATAGGGCTCACTCAATGACGGTCATCTCTTGATTGCTTATTTTACGCAATCAAGCACGCATTGCGCAGTGTTAAAAATGTTCCAAACACACGCGCTTCTTGCTTGAAATGTGTTTGAAATACGACACAGCCGATGTGCGTTATTCAGTTGATGCTCAAAATGTTGATGCATGTGGCTGGTCTGTAGGAAATGACGTCATTTGAATGAGACCTATTGATATGGGACACCATATAAGATTGTGTATGGTAGAATACATGACTGATTTGCATACACTACTTTGTACATCTCTCCTACATTAGAACAACATGCAGGACATGACCCCAATACATGTACTTTTTGTGCATAGTTAATTGGAATAACAAGCTTGACACAAATGTTTGGAACAACAAATGGGTATTGAAGGACAACTTGCAAACTAGATGGTGAGAAGAGGGCACTATTTACCATTCTGAAATGAACAGGACTGTTCATGTAGTCATCGAGGACAAAACGTGGACATCTGCGTTTCTGCTGTCAGAATAGCAGATTGAGTATTTTTTGAATGGTTCATTTTGTTCTGCTTTCCCGCCTTTGTGCTACCATAAATGCAGAATTTACTGTTTAATAAAATCCACTGTAGTGCTTTTATGCTACCTGAAATGCAGATTTTGCTTTTCCTCCCTTGCTGGAGGGAGAAAAAGTGGACATCTGCTTTTCTCTTGTTCAAAAATCAGATCAAACCGTTTCTGACGTTTCCATTTCCTGCTTTTGTGCTACCCAAAATGTATATTTTTGTTTTTTGCTTTTCTCATTTCTTAGAACCAGAAAAGCAAAACGAACCTTTGGTAACTACCATTTGTATTCTGCTTTTGGTTAAAAGGAAAATGAAACGGTGCTTCTGAGAAAAATAAGCACCGTTTCATTTTTCTTTGAGTGTAGGTTAACAGGGTTTTTTAGGCGTTCCCCCTTAAAGAGCTTCCACATCACAAAGTTACAAAATGAAAAATGTATTGTCGGAAAATGGCCATACTTCTGTTATCTGCTCTTCTGACAGCAGAAAAGCGATGTCCACTTTGTGTCCTCCTTGGGCCTTACCATAGTGTACCCAAAGTATCGCATTTGAGAAGTCTTTGCTGTGCGCAGTAAACCCATATGTGAGCTGCACAAGCATTACTTCAATAACATCTGAACATACTGGCATGCAATTTCAGTAGTTATTGCCTCCATTTTAAACAGATTCAATTTCAAAACATTGACTATTTTGGCAGTATACATTGCCCCCACAATATAATGGAGCCTTTTCATGTCAAGGTTCCTGTGAGATAACAAATACAACAAACTCTCTCCAGTTTTAAGTAACCAAAGTAACTGTACATGTGGGCATTGTTATGTTAGTACTGTTACTATTCTACGCAGAACAACCGGCCATTCGTACTAAAGTGACAAAGTGACATCAGTTCTCACGTAGCACATGAACAAAAAGGAGCCTTTTTCTCTAAATGTTTGAAATCGTTCACAAGAACAGCGAATACAGCAGCTGAACTATCAGCATGCTAGCATCGGTGGATTTATAGGATCTCCTCCAACTGTTTCTAATCTTAAGTTGTCAGACAAGTCAATTATTAATAACATCAGACATACATGCACTGTTCTTGTGAATATCAGATTTTTGACCCAGGGTGGCAAAAAGGTTCACTTTTTCTATTCACTTGGCACAATAAAATGTTTATGCATAGGCCTTTGTGGGAAAGACAATAGCAACGAAGTCCTATGTCCAATTTGATTGAAAGTTTGATAAGGTTTCCCTGTATTCTCAAGATGTACAGTATCCACTCAGCTATAACTTCAACAGGTAAGTTGTTATGGATCTAACTTAAGATTTGGAGCAATTTTGTTTTTGCTTCAAAAAAAAAAAACCCAAAAGGCACAAATATCACAAGATCCTATGCATCTTCAAACAGAGAATGAGGCTTCCCAAAGTTATAAGTCATTTGATCAAATGTGGAGACACAGTGAGGGGTGATTGTGTGTATTACTAGAGATTCCTGAGGTCTGTTTCCACGCCATAGATCAGAGCCTTGAGTTGATGTAGCTCACTCTGCATCTTCTTTGATCTCTTAGCTGTCTGATGAATATTATGCAGCATGAACATATCACCATCTTCCCCAACACCCACTGTCACCTGTTCAGCATGGCAACAAAACAAGAAGGGTTTACATTACAAAGCACTGACAATGATCCAGGGCTAGGGATGTAGTTGATTCCATTCACAAGTCCACCACAAGTCCAGACACAAGTAATTCGTGAGTCCATCACAAGTCCAGGCACAAGATACACTGGATGCCTTTGTCAAAGCTCATTTGAATAGCTTGTGAGTTAAATTGGTGTTGGAGGACTTGTGGTGGACTTGCAGGGACTAGTGATGGACTCGACTACATCCCTGCAATGATGTCCTTGCAATCTTGATTTCAGTGACAACATCATTATGGACTAAGATGACATAACATCTCACTAACAGAATCTGCTTCTTGATTTAGTCAAGAGCACGTTTCATGGAATGCACCATTTTACTTTATATAATCGACATACAGATCGTTGTCATTTGATTGGTGGAACTCACATCATGTGGCATTCGTTATTGCTCCCATTCACGCCGGGGCTCAAAAAGTCCCATTCGCCTATGGGGAATGGGAAATACTATTGAACAGTTAGGATCATTCTTGTTCCATGACGCAGTTGTATGCAAATGCATGCTGGTGTGCGCGTTTAGCATTGCACGTAGCCAGCGTTGGGTTCAAACATTTTCGTGAAGGGGTGGTTTGGAAGAGAAAAATACATTTTCAACCAATTTTATATTGAAATAAAAGTTCAAATATCAAATGACAAGGATCTATGTGTCAGTTATATAAAACAAATATAAAAGTTCGACATGTTTTTGTACATGGTGGAAGTGTGGCCTTTATTTATGGAGGTAGTCCAGTAAAATGGCCACATATGGGGCTAAGCATGACCCAGCCTTTGGGGTACTTGTTCGCAGTGTCCGCACCACGATCTGCATGAACTGCTCTATAGCTGACCAACATAGGAAAGTAGAAAACAGCAACGGACAAATGCAAACTAACAACATGACTGACATGAACAGACAATACTCCACCTTGTAGAGTTGCTTCTCAACATCCTTGAGTTGGTTTCTCAAGATTCGGGTATCATTCTTGAAACCTTCTATCTCCAGATTCCGTCGCTTCTCCATGGCCTCATACCGCTGGTTCATCAGGTGTAAACGCTTAGCAAGCTTTTCCGTCTTATCCTGTGGATAAATAACCACAAGAATGAATGGTACTAGAAACAGGTTTCGGCAATAGATCAGAAATGGCTTAAACTTTGCATGAGCAGTTGGTACTGTTTGAATATCAGAGTTTATTTTGTTCACTTTTCGATAGCAATCAGAACAATCCACTGAAGGGAATTTGAAGTCGGAATTCTATTTTTGATACATTTTGGTACCAACAAAATAGGATTACATAATAATCCTGTTTTAATCCTAAAAATGTGATAAATAGTGATATGACAGTATTCTACCAATACACACACACAAATATGTACTCATGCCATCAGTTTCTGTCATGAGAAAGTATAGGTCATGAAAAAACTGACTGGACCTTTTTTTTTTACGTTTTGCGTAATTTGTTTCGCTTCAGTGACTTCTAATATTTCAGCCTTCGAAAATGTCCTTCCGTTACCGAAAAAATACATATTTTTAATTTATTTTCAAAACTTGCAGTATGAATGCAATGAAAGTTATTGTGCAAAGCAAGTTTAGGTAGGCCTTCAATATGACATTATAACTGACACTGCTGTACGTATCGTTTTTTAATTACAATTAATTAAATCCCGTCCTTCCGTTACCAAATTGGTAACGGAAGGACGGTAACGGAAGGACAAATGTTATTTTTATCAAATGTAACGACATTTGTGCTCATGTTTGAAAAATGAAAATCACTGCAACTACATGCATGTATAATGCGCATTGAAAGGACATTCATGTGACCCACCTTCACAAAGCTGGTATGAGCAGGGCAAGGTGTTCATTACAAAGGATGGCACAGGCATATGTATAACATGTACATGTACAATGTACATGTATGACAATGTACCGGTACTCATACATGTATGGAGTTGTTGCAGAAAATCAAATCATTAAGTTGCTGCTATCACCATTCATGGACAATAGAGAAAGATACAATTTCTGTGAAGCCATTCCAGAAGCAAATTAAGTAAAAAATGAGATGGCAGAAAGTACCAGTGCTATTGGGCACTTTCATACAATTTACATGTGTAAGACATGTGAGGTGCAATTTTTGACAAATTAAGTTAACAACTTCAGGCTGGATGTTTATAAGATAATTATTGTTAATACTCTAAATCATTAAAATTTGATTTCAAACACTGAATTTAGAGTTCAATTAAAAGCAACACCTAAAACATTTTTTAAAGCACAATGATTCTGAAGCCATCAGTTCTACCTGTAGATGTTTTTAATGTACATGTAAGCTGGTCGCCCCCCCCCCCCCCCCCCCCCACCCTTTAGGTAAACCACTGAACCTACTGGTGTTATTATTAAAAGTTGTTGGTGAACATGTAACCAATATACTCAAGTGCTCAAATACTGTGTATTTAAAACTTTTAAGGATTAAGGTGATGGGTTTGAAGTCCATTTCTGTAGTTGTCTTGTGTTCGTGAATTATGTGTTTTTGGTTGTTTTCATTTTTCATTTGTTATCATTAATTAGCAGGCTTCTATCTTTATCTCAATAGTTTCTTGGGTATAATTATTTATGCCAGGTCTGCATATTGTTGATTTCACATTCAGTTACACATTTCAGCAATTTATTTCACTTGTATAATTAGTGTAAATTCACATTTTATTCATGCTATAATTGAGTAAACCTTTTGTCCTTCCGTTACCGTCCTTCCGCTACCAAATTATAATCCACTTAAGACATTGTAATTATATCACCGAAACACTTAAAGTCAAATGAAAGGTGGTATAGTATAGATAAAGCCGCAGGGATTCCATTTCCTACCTTTGAAATATAATTGCCCCATAAAATTCACAGAGTTTATGCAAAACGCGTGTAAGTTGGAAAACCCTCGTCCGTTTTACCGTCCTTCCGTTACCGACCTCATTAATATTCATAATTCATTAACGAGAGGTATGCATGCCCCCAAAAGTGTGGAAATTGAAGGTAGCATTATAGCAATACCATTGTGACATTTGCTTGCTGTAACTAATAACAGTGGCTGTGATAGGCACATTTGAAATTTTGTTTAATGAGCGAAAACGTCCTTCCGTTACCGTGGAATTGCCCAAAAGCAGTAAAAAATTCTGAGCTCTCCATAGGTTTGTGCACAAAAATGGACGCACCCAGCAGTGTACATTCTGTACAGTAAGTTAAGTCTCTAGTCATTTTAAGCTACAGTCCATCATTTGCAGCTATCCAAAAAGTAACTGATGTAATTATCGTTGAAAAACATACTTGGTTGGTTGACAGTACTAAATTCTCTCTGAAATTATTCTTTCTGACATGCTGTCATTTTGAAGAAATCAACAAAAGAAGGTCTTCAGACGCATCGTTGGAAATTTCTGTTAGTAGTTCGCTTTTTTATTTGGCGAAGCACGCACAAGCGTTGACACGATGCAAACGTGCGCGCAGTTGCCTTAATTCATCGTATCAGTGCATGACACCGCGTAGCTGCAATCGGCTCAATGAGAATGTGTCTCAATTCAGGCCCAATTCAAAACATGATTCAGCAACATGATTCAGCAACTTTTATTTGAAATCGAGATCCGCAGGCCCGGTTCTGTGTTTTTTTGTCCCGTTCTGTTCACAAACTCATCTATGTTTCAAGTCACAGACCATACAGGGATGAAACTGGCCTATGGGGAAAAAATCTGAAAATAGGCCAGCCAAAATTCTGTGTCCGAAATCTGGGCTGCGCCGCAAGTACACATACGTACTATATGTACAATAAACTTCGTGTTCAATTTCTGGACATCGCCTCCTTTTTTTCTTTTACATGTACATGTAGATCCAAATGAAATTTTACGATGTGAAAAATGTTCAGTGTTTCCATAAGATTAAAAAGCCCGAATTAGGGTTGGAGTTTCTGACTCGTAATTAAAGAAATTCACATCTTACTTGAGACACGGAGAAAGTCAAGGAAAAAGTCCAAGACAACAAGTCCACTAACGCATGGTAGGTGGAACTGGAAAAAGTTTGGCATTAGGCCTGCCGTCTTTTTCGTACAACAACTGCCGGTGAAATTTGTCTTCTATGCTCTCCTCGCCTTCCTCAAGATTTTGCATGGAAGAGATCGTCAGACTAAAACCACCACGTTGCAATCATTCAGTATCATTTGTACAACACTGAATAAAGTAGATCTGCCAAAGTCCAAAATGCTCCTTATGTGCGATTACCCCAATAGTTTGATTGCAGCTTTTGAGGGGGCCATTCAGTTGTGACTTTGTAACAAGATTCTTTTGTTTTGCTAACTTTTGAAAAAAAAATGATTTCTGAATGGAAAAGTTAGTTCTTTTTTTAAAGCAATTCAAACGAATTTGCTTGAAAATGATCATTATTGTATTGTATTTAACTTGAAATGATTTCTTTGTGCAGGAAGCTTCTCTATAATGCCCACCTCAATTTCCAAGTTCTGTGTTTGTCTCTCTTCCAGTGCATGATCTGAGATGACTAAGACGTCATCTTTGGAGACATCTAGTTGTTCCTTACATCGATCCAGCTCCTGTAGTAGACGGTCCTTCTCTGCCATCCAGACTCGCTCCTGAGATCGTCCTTCATACTTCAGCTCTAGATAGTCCTTAGTGCTGTCATACAACATCTGCTGTGTACGATGTAACCTATTAACAGAAGAATGTCCATGACAAGTGATGTATGATGGTTGAACAAGGTAGCTGAATAAAGGATACACATTCTACTTTTGTTTAAAGAACGGTAAGTGTCTTATTAGTCATTCATAAGATTTCATTTCATTTTGCGTCGGGGTGATGTAAATCAAATTAGGTTTTGCCCTTCACCGACATATAAACACTGTATACTCTCTGTGTTACCTCCCGAGTGAAAGTTGAAAAAAATCACTCCGGTCAAACCCATGACCCTCCTGCTTTCTAGTGCAGATGTCTTACCACTTGACCACCGAGCTAACGGGATCAGTTGGCTGGTTCGAATCTGATGTACATAGCAGCGGGTACTACATTAACTATTCATAAGATGGTAAGACATCTGCAATAGAAAGCAGGAGGTCGTGGGTTCGAGTCCCACCGGAGTGATTTTTTTCCAACTTTCACTCGGGAGGAAACACACTGAGAATACAGTGTTTATACATCGGTGATGGACAAAACCTAATTTGGTTTTATTAGTCAATTGACTCATGTAATTTCAGCAAGCACACACTGCATATGCCTCCATGTTATTTTGGCAAGATGTGTTGCCAATATACTAGTGTGGAAAGACTGTGGTTTCTAAAATAACTAAGATCAAAGTGCTTTACATTATTATTACCCCTGATCATTGGGCCAATGAAACATTGCAAATACAATCTCAGCTTCCTGTGGAATATGGATTTTTATTCACGAGGAAGTCATTTTAGTCATGTTCCCTGACAGTATTTTATAAACTATTGAATAGGATGGTGCCAGACTATTTTTGCATTCTAGCCTCACTTTCAATTTTTATTTTAAATGTGGCTTAAAAACATTAGGGTATGTTTAACAACAAATTTAAATTTTCATTAAAGCAGACTGGTATTAATTTGTAATTAATTTTATGTCACTGCTTTAATTTCTCTTTGCAAGTTCCAAATATGAAGATTTTACCTCGCTTTCAATTTAATATAGTCGACTCCTGAATAAAGCCCATACAGCTCGGTGTAGTCATTTCGACGCAAGGTAGCTAAAATCAATCACAATTGCGATCTCTGTTCTCACAGGTACCCATTTACTCCTGGGTGGGGCGAAGCAATGAGTGACAAAGTGTCTTGCCAAAGGGAACATGCACCATAACCCCAGGCTGGACTCGAACCCACAACCTGTAGAATTACCCACAGACAACGAGTTCAATGCTCCAGACCATGAGGCCAGGGCACTCCACATATTTAGAAATGTTTTGCCAATTCATGCAACAACACAAACACCAGGTAATATAATCTATTTGAAACCCCTGCCCGTTGTCCAAACTGCACACATGTGCATTTATCTTTATTGGTACCTTCAAGGATGTAACTGGGGTCCAAGTTGCTGGAGGGCCCTAAAGGGACCTCAGTTTCTAGTAGGAGGCAGTCTTTGAGCAGAGGGGTCCATGCCCCTCATCCTCCTCCCCTATCATTAGCTATGCCACTGGGCACCTTTGTCAAGTTCATTTAAGATTATAAGGAATCAATGAAGGGAGTTCCTACTTTTCATTGAGGGAGTGAATCTTGGAGCGATCTCTCTCAATCACAGTCTGCATCTCTTCCATCCTGACCCTACGATCCTCCAGCAAGGCTTCCGTCCGCTCTCTAGATAGCTCAGCTTGTTCCTTCATCTGAGATTGTAGAGCTTCAATCTGTAGCAACAGACTCTCTGGCTCTGCCTGCTGCTGGTCTGAATCAGGATGGACAGCTTTGGGCTGGGCGCTGTTGGACTGAAATGAGGATTGGAAAATATTGATGGATGGTAACAGGATCAACCTGCTGGTACAGACTCGGACAAAAGAAACCACCATTTTGGAGATGATCTGATCAATTATCGTGATTGAAGCAACTTTACTGGGATAACGTATGTAACTAATCTTGGAAAGTTCATGGTATGATGAGGCGGCTTTTTGCCAAACTCACTTCTCAGGGGAGTAACTACAGGTAATTTCATCAGCTGATCAAGGAATTATCAACACACCTACCAAAAGCTGCAACAGATATATATATTTACTATTAATACTATGAAAGTAAGTAAAGTCTGTCATTAGCCAATACATCTCCGGTTTCAAAGGCATGAAACGACCGAGGATATTTTTTTATCCCCCCTGGATAGGATGCCAGTCCATTGCAGGTTACTTCCCAGCTAATATCGGTACCTATTTATACTCCTGGGTGGAGAGAGGCAAGTGGGGGTGAAGTGGCTTGCCCAAGGACACACATATAACCGGCAACTAGATTCGGACCCCTGACCCTCTGATCATGAGTCACAAACCTTAACCATATTAATGCTTAAAAAAAAATTAAAATCCCATAGACCTTATAAATAGTTAATGCGATGCCCGCTGCCATGTACCAATACATCAGATTCGAGCCAGCCAACCGATCCCATTAGCTCAGTGGTCAAGTGGTAAAACATCTGCACTAGAAAGCAGGAGGTTGTGGGTTCGAGTCCCAACCGAGTGATTTTTTCCAACTTTTACTCAGGAGGTAACACACTGAGTATTCAGTGTTTATACATCAATGAAGGGCAAAACCTGATTTGACATACATTGTATTAATACTATGATCCACTAGTTTATCTGACCCACAAATACTAAAAATGGGCCTGATATGGTTGGTATGAGATCTGAGGAGTGTTGGCTTTGCAATGTTTTATCAACCACCCTTTGCCTCAACCATACCGGTATGTAATCTCTACCTACCTTTTGTGTTAGCAGTAACTCTGTGTTGTGCATTCCTCCGTGTTCTGTTGTTCTGTGGTCTGCTTGGCACTCTGGCTTTTAAACCCCAATATTTCACCCTCTGGAAAAAAAAAACCAGACAGGCAAGTAAGAAGAAAACATGAGACGTCTTGGAAATTACAGGTTACACCTTCATATACCTTTGAAATCTGATGGACAGTGTGTGCAGATATATAATTGTTTGCCAGAATAAAATGCAATGTTCAAAGTTGGGTCAAAAGTCTTCTAATGCCCGACTGTAATTCATTGTAATAAACCAGTTCTGTATTTCAATGACCTGAGGTCATTTGGGATAACATTGCTGACACGATGTTAGGCGATGTTACGCGCACGACCACTCTGGTGGTAATTTACACACAAGCGTCGCGCACCCGCATTCATGCGCCTTTGATCGTTCTACTATCCCGAATGACCGGTGACCCATATCGTTGTGCACATAAGCAGTTGAAATACCGAACTGGCTTATCCATGGCATTCCTTGAGTTGTTTGCTTGTTTGGAAAAGGATGAGACATTTAGGACAACTTGAAGAACTGTTGACACTTAAAATACCCAATACAAGGGAACTTGACTAGGTTTACTCTTAATAATGTTTAAATGGGGGCAGTTCCGCAGTGTCAGACGTACATTTTGGGCAATTCAACAGTGTATGTAATTGTAGTTATAATCACGGGGTAGATTTTAATTCTGATAAAACATATCAGTTAGTCACTAGTTACTTTGATGAGTCAAAGAAGAAATTATTCATCCAACTTTGTTGCTGTAGTAGAAATTGGCTCAAAACACCGGACGTACTCAGACAAATCAATTTTTTGTATTGTCATCAATTGATTTTCCATTTACAAGTAACAGCCAAACTGTTGAACTTGTTAGGGAATGTACAACATTTGCTTTTGCTGCAATGTTCAAAATAAGTGCATCTGGGGGATTAGTGTGCTATAAAAAATATTGTTAAAGGGCATGTACAACATTTGCTTTTGCTGCAATAATCAGAAATAAATGGATTTGGAGGATTAGTATGTTTTAGCAAATATTGTTAAAATGACTTGTTTCACGTTTTGGGCTTGTAGATGTTGGAAAAACCAAGAAAACCATTCATGTTCTTGTAGTCTGGTTCACAGACCCCATTTAAGATGAAACAGAGAATTTATAGACTTTGGGGGATTGTAAGATCAGAGAGGCAGTCTAGTAGGCTTGTACCCCTTCAAAGGTGTGTAATCAATTGCACAGAAAACACAGAATAACTAATTATGAAAAATTAGGAGTAGTTTTAAAAAAAAAAACAGTTTTCTCCATTGCTGGTCGGCCGACCAGCGTTGGAAAAATACCATTTTTTTTTTTAAATGTCAGCACACCAGGAGCCACGATTTTACAGGATGCTTTAGGCTGTCATCCCCTAACAATCCACTAAGGTATTTAGTGATACTTTGTTCATATCGTTTTGTAATATTTGCCAATGTTGTATCTTCCCTTTAAACTGACCTATTTCACGTTTTGGGTTCGGAAATGCCAGAAAATCTAAGAAATCCAACCATGTTCTTGTGGTCTGGTGACATGAGACGTAAGATGAGACGTAGCACTTTGTACACTTTGAGGAAGTTAGGTCAGAGAATCAGTCTAGCAGGCTTGTACCCCTACACAGATGCGTAATTGATTGCAAAGAAAATGCGGAATGACTAAATATGAATACAGGATGCTTTAGACTGTCATTCACTGACAGTCCAGTAATATATTTCGTCATAATTTGATCATTTCGTTTTTTGATGTTTGCAATGATGTTGTATCTTCCCTTTTAAATAAACTACATGTCAATAAAATACAGATAATATGCTTCAAATTGATATGTATATTTCTTTTGTGGCATTTTGGCCATTAAGAATTGTTGGCATTCAGGTTTATAATTCTGTAGAATTGCCCATGGATGGGCGAGGGAATTGATTAACAAATTTTGGCCAAGGACATTGACAAATATGAGTCTGCAGCCCCGTTGGTAGAGTTGCCAGTGCGGTGTTACACACTGACCTGCATGTGGATGTCTCTTTTGTGGGTGTTTCTGTGTGACAATTGCCCGCGTTGATGGTTCTTTGTGGAAGTATGTCACTTCAGGACCTGATGGGCTTGATAATGATAACAGATGCTGGATTCTGTCAAGTACAAATCAAATCATTGGAAAAGTTCAAGTTAGTACACCTTTGGTAAATCCAAACTAACAGGGTTTGTTTACTTCCATATCACATTATACGTGTAACTGATTGTACATGTGGGGTATTAAAGCAGCACCAACATTCATACATGTTCATGAATGCATCATCTCTAAACATACTTTTGCACTAGTGTGGAACAAATTGCAATTGCTTAGTCTAGACAAGGGTTGTGCAAAATATACCGAATATCCAAATATTTGATCATCCACCGAATATCCGAATAGCATTTTATCAAATTGAATTGTTTTTTTAATGTGAGCAATGACAAAAAAACCGTCCATGATGTGATTTTATGAGTTTAAGTTGAGAGATTTGATTTGTTTAGTCAAACGCCACACTTTACGCAGATGGTTTGAGAGTTTTCATGAGGAATGTAAGCCCTAATGTGGATCTTCAATATCTGCCAAATGCCAGGTTGTCAGCTAGCTCAAAATCTATATCGATACATTCCAAATTATTTCAATGTCATTGGATGATTTTTTTGTTCAAATTCAAGTTCCAATATTCAAAGACTAAATTATTGGAAAAATGCACAACATTAATAGAGACCTGTTTTGTGAAGCACACCTAGAGAGAACTTGAAGCTCTACCCAGCCCTGCAAACAATGACCTGTACTCTGCCCGCAAGGTTGTCAGTCCGTCATTGCCAATCAAAGAATCCTCCCCAACAGTCACCATCCATCTGCACAACATACAGATTACAGGTACAATGTATATATACATGTACATGGATTCAATTCAGCCTCAGGACAGGCAGTAGCACTGCTATTGTGACAAGGTTTTTGCAGTCGCTTTGCCAACCAACCTCTTTGTCGACAACCACTTCAACGATTTGCTACTTCACCGAATAACCACTTCGCCTACTTGCCACTCCGTCGAATTACCACTTCGCTGAATGACCACTTCGCCGAATTGCACGCAAACGCACGTACTAACAAGTTTGTTATGGTGTAAATCAAGGATTTTCTAATGTTTCTCTTCCCTTTCCTTTGTTTATACTCTGAACATTTTTGCATCTGCTCTCATTGGTTTAGTACACGTTTTCTAATCGAACTCGTCTTCCATTTACAATTCATTGATGACGTTGCATGTGTGTGTCCTTGATTTACACCATAAAGAAATGCCTACAGACACGTACATGTATGTATGGAGCCATAAAAATGAGCTACATGAAAAACTTGGGGTTGTTTTACCCCTTCCTATCCAAACCCATATGAGATTCAACTTTTTTCATTCTATAGTCAACTTGAAACAGTACTGAAGGGGATGAAGATTTAAAAAGAAAAAAAAAAAAGTTTCTGAGAATTAACTGTGTGCGACCAAAAACATGGTCACCGTGTACGGACAGTCAATGATTAATATATTTTATAAATTCCACTTCTTCACTTTCAAAGTGAATTGAGAGGACAATGTCACATAAACCTAGTAAAAGAAGACACAACAAGTATGAAAACCACTTAATATTAAGTACCAGTCAGCTGTTATAATTACCATGAGTTTGTGCATGCGAGCATAATGTGTTAGCAAATACTTTCGGCGAAGTGGTAATTGGGCAAAGCAGTAATTTGGCTAAGTGGTAATTTGGCTGGTTTCGATCCAACTCGGACCCAAA